CTCAGCTGTGCTCGGCAGGGCTCGCACAGTGCCAGCAATGGCTGAGCAGCAGCCGTGCCCTGGGAGGGCTCCCACCTGTGGTAAGGAGATCTGCTTCTCTATGGAAAAACGAGTGAATTCTAGTTTTTCATACTACAAGGGTTCTGTTGCCATCACCTCAGTTCGATTATTCAGTCTGTTGCACAGCTTTTTTCCATGCCTAGCTGGCATATGCATAAGCAAGAACTCAATTTTAATGTTTTCTTTTATGCAGCACCTTAGGACCTCTACCGTCCTAGTGGAGATTGTTATTTTCTAGTTATTCTAGTTGTTTGGTCTCTGGCTGAGCAGATGTATTTCTCTTCAGAATTTCTGATTTATGCTGTGCCTTAGCATACAATTCCTCTTCAGTTTTAAAGTCCTGGCTAGTTTTATGCAGCATCAGATCTGAAAGATGCTCACTGGTCTGTTTGAGGTAATATGAGAAACCAGAGGCTTCCACATGAAGTGTCTGCTGCCAGACTTCTCCTGCCAGTGCAGCAAATGACCTGCAGTGTGTGTGAAACTCACAGGAGTAATAGATGGTTTCCCAGCTCTGGAATCTTTCTTGGCTGCTCTCCTGCTGGATTAGCTGTTCTGTACAGCTGAGGCAGCTCACTGGGCTTCTTGCCACCTTGTATCATGTTAGATGTTTCTTTTGAGCCTGCGGTTTTGGGTTGGTTTACATGTAATGTGTTTTGGTTGGTCTTACACATATTTTCCTCCTAGAACACTGCCCTTTCTGTCCTGCTGGCTGCCTGCAATTCTGCTGATGCCACTCTGGAGGCAGAATTTAAGACATCTATCTTGGAAGTGCTCAGTCAGTTCTGGTCTTTTCTCCAGGTTAAGCAGGTAAGAGAGTTTGCTGCTCCAGCAGTGGAAGCATGTCTTGGAGGGGCTGGTGCTGTTTCCTCAGGTTGTTGTTACTCATTTGTTTGACTTGGGCTGGACTGTTTCAGTAAAGCACAGTGTATCAATGCTGCCCATCTGATCTCAGCTGGTTTATCTGTAGGCAAGGCATGAGCTCTGGGAAGCTTGAGTTTGAATTTCCTGAATGTTCCTTGTTACTCCATCTGTTACTCAGTGTCTCATTCAGACTTGCTCAAGGAGAAGCCTGAAATACCTGATTTTGCTTCATACCAGTTATGAATTTGATGTATTTTAAATATTCCTCAGAATATGACCAAAACTCGGGGTGATTTGATTAGAGCACAGCCCAGCACATAAAGGGCCAATCACCCTCCTCCCAAGGTGGTCAGGCAGTGTCCTTGTGATCATGTACCTGTTCATGGCTGCAGGAAGGAAAAAAAGGATTGTCAGGGTTTTCATGCTCCAGATTAAAAAAGAACTTTTGAGAGTGGGAGTGAAGAGCCAACAATGTGCCACTTCAGAGGTCTTTTCAAACCTTAGCCATTCTGCGAAGACATTTGGCAACTGGAAATGAAAATAAATAGTTCAGATAACCTTTGGGTGCTTATTTTAGTAAGTGGTGGAAGGAGAGGAGGGTTAAGAAATATTCTTAAAAAAATCAAAGAAAATCGTCTTATAAAATATGGCTACCTAGAAATACTGACATGATTATTTCAATATTTTCTTTGCTGCTTACAATGCAGTGTTTTACGTGTGTGAAATCAGACTAACAATTTTGGAATGCTACTGTAACTTGACATTCTCTCCTAAGCAGTTATTCCAAGAGCTAAAATGCAATATTACTGATACCTTGTCCTCTCTTCAAGGTCTCAGATGATCCATGTCTCCAGAAGACACTGTGTTTATTGCTTCACCTTTTGGAATTTTTCATCCAAGCATTAGATGCTCAACTGATGACCCAGGTAAAAAAAAAAAAATTCTAAAACCCCCAACACCACCTTATGAATAATTCACTACATGAAAACCAAATTCTTTGTGATTTATTGAAATCTCAAATGAGTTATTTCATTGTCTGGCCTGCTCTTAACAAGGAAATAATCTTCCTTGATTACTTTCCTGGCCTTTAAATCGAGCACATGGCATTTTGGTTAACACTGCTTTTGAGAATCCCTTTCCTCTGTAAGATAATTGAGATATAAGGGAGTATGATAGAGATCATGCTCATTTCTTTCTAAAATGCACCTGCAGCTTTGTCCTGGCCAGTTCTATTGGAGGTGCAGCATACCTCCTGCAGGAGTCTAAACTCCATGTGTTTGGATTTAAAGATGAGCCTGCAGAGTTTTCCCCTGCAGTCTGTCTGATGGGGCTTTGCTGGGATTTGTCTCCTGCAGGTATTTGCACTGCAGTCAGCCCTGCTCCAGCTGCATGCCCCGGATCATGTCCGCCTAGCAATGGTGCATTTTCTGTCTTCCATGGGAAAGGTGTTTATTCCACAAGAAGCACAGGTAAATGGAATTGTGGCCTTAGTGAAATTGCCTCGTTTTTTGATAAAAAGACTTTTATATAAATATACAGTTAAGGGATCAAGTTCATTAATTAGATACAGGAATGCCAGGATAGTTAATAATTAATTAGATTAATGGTCTGCAACAGGTTTATTTGTCATCAAGACGTGCTGAGTGCATGCAAGATGCTTGGAGGTTCAAATACCAGTCCTTTCTCACTGGTGAGAAGTAACAAGAAGTGAAAATAGAATGTCACCTCCCTCACAGTGGTTCTTTAGCCAGACAGGGCAGTAGCACTCTTGCATTTCCCAAACCTGTCCCCCAGAGCAAGTCTTTAATAATAAATCATGATGGTGAGATATGCACAACTAACTCTTGGGAACTGATGGCTGTTTCTTCCTGTTGCAGAGGCAGGTTGTGCCGCAGCTGTCCTGTCTGTTTGCCTCTCTGCTGGCTGACCAGACCTGGCTGATTCACCAGCACGCACTGGAGGCATTCACACATTTTGCAGAGGTGAGCAGAGCACAGCTCTGGGTGCAGGCATTTGGTTCTGTTAACTTCTGTTGTACACAAAGTCTCCTGTCTCAAATGTTTGCTGCTCCTCACTGCACAATCTGGATCTGAGTTACAGCTGTTGCACACTGACAGTGCTGAAGGCTGGTGCAGTTGGAAGAGATTTCAGGAGCCAGAAGTGAAGAAGGATTGGGCACTGGTTGCTTAGTGTGGTTGCAAGAGGGCAGGGACACCTAGGGAAAATAGAAACATTCTGTTTTGTAGGGAAAGTAGAAACATCTGTTTTCTTCCCTTGTTAGCATGAATGTACTGAACAACCAATAACATTTTTGATAGGAAACAAGACATGAAGATGTTGTTCCTTGGTGCCTTAATTCTGAAGAAGCTAAGAACAAAGTTGTTAATTTTCTGGCTAAGGTATGTATATTGTTTAACCATTTTACTGCTGTCTTAGTTGATGCTGTACATCTGCTATCAGCAATACACAGCATGTGTCTACACTTGCATTATCTGCATGACCATTAAGTAACTTTAAAATAAACTGTCTGGTTGAATTTCTCTACTTGCTTTAATCTAAGAATTAGCAAATGCCATTCCTATGCACACTGGTCCCTTCAACTTAAAAAAGCACACTGGTACTTTCAGCTTAAAAACAAAGCATTTATCATCCTTCACCAAAAAAATACTTATTAAATTGCACTGTTGTTTTTGAAGGAATTTACCTATTAAAAAGACAGGATTGATAATCTGGTTTGATTTCCTTACCCATTTCTCTTGGATCAGATTCTGAAATCTAAACAAACATGTATGAAACATCTCAGTGCCTTTTGCATATTAGGAGAAATCCTCTTAGGGCAGGTGGCTGTTGCTGCAGAACAGTGGCATTGGGAAAGAGGGGGCAGCTGCAACTTGAGGCAGGGCTCTCTGGTTGAGCAGCTTTTGGCAAGTAGATAATTTACAAAAGAACTGGTAGCTGCTAGTGGTGCTAACCCAAAGTTGTAGATAACCTCAATCCTTGATCAGAAGAATGTGTGAGAAATAATATTCTTTGAACTGCACATAAAAATCCCTCCCTCTCTCCTTTTGTTCTGGCCTATGAATTGTGCCTATGAAGGTTGATGATGCTACCTGGGTTTAGTTACCTCTCCTGGGGCTTTCTCCCTAGACAAGGCAGGTGGAAGAGACGAGAGAAGCACGAACAGAACGCCTGAAGCAAGAAAGGATTACCTGGAGTGCACAGGTTTTGAAAGTGGATGGAGAATTGGAGTCAACAGGGGAGGTATGTGTGCTTCTTTAAAATGCTAATTTCTGTCAGTTCTAGGGAGTTTCTGAGAAGGCTGAGCTGGTCTTGCTGCCCTCCATGATCTAAGAAGAAAGGTGTCATGCACTCCTGGCCCTTTGTATGATATTTTAATAATCTGTAGTGCCTGCCAGGCAGCAAGAACCCTCACAGGACAAGGGACTCTCGCAGCTCTGTTCCACCTAAGGGGTTTCTTGCATTTGGATGAAGACTGATCCCTCAAGTACAGTATTAAATTGATGTTTCATGTTTGCTTAAATCTACAGCCTATGGCCAAAAGAGCCTGTCACCCCCCCTCTGAGGAGCAGTACAAGGCAGCAGTGGGCACGATGGAGGGAGCGGTGGAGGCTGTGAAGCTGCTGCTCCAGAAAGGTTCCCCTCCAGGCTGGCTTGCAGTGAAGCTGGAGGCTCTGCACACAGCCATAGCCACCCTCAGGGACAGCTTGTGGTAGGTGCTCCACAGGGCTTGGGGACAATGGCCCAGCTCAGCTCCCTGGCAGGAGGGAAGAGCTGCCTTTGTGCCAGGAGTGCTGCAGAAGAAAAAGCTGTGACATGGGCAGTGCTCTGCAGTACTGCTGGCTCTTGGTTGTGTGCCAGCCTCTCCTGTGCAGCCTGATGGGTTTGAGTGGACACTGCTCAGATCAGAGCTGTGCGTTTGTACATTGTTTGTTCTTTTACTGTGTGGAGATAAACATTCCCTGATATTGTATTCTGAATACTGAGAGGTTTGTATCTGATGTAAAAGTAGCAGGGACTTTGTTCCTGTCACATGCAGGTACTCCATGCTACGGTGATCCTTTAAAAATAGTCTTTATTGGTCACAGTTAAGAGCAGAAAGAACATGGTGCTTAATCAGTTTGTGGTTGTTCACTGTATGGTTCCTAGCACCTCTTGTGCCATCCATTGACAGAACTATACAAACAGAAATAAATAAGTTGAATAAACTGTACATTCATCTTAAAATCATCTCTTAGCTGAAAAGTTAAAAGGAGCCATTTCTAAGGGCTTTATTTTTTGGGGAAAGGAAAAAAAAAAAACAAGAAAACCAAAGGAAAAAGGCACATTAACTAAGAAACTCAGTGTGACTTTCATTTATTGTCAGCAGTTTTTCAGGGAAGGGGTGAGTTCTGGATCAATCTCCTACACCACTCTTGACCTCCAGTAGCACATCAGCACCATCACCACCATCACGCTGTCCTCTCTCCGGGAGCAGTGGCAGCACCACAGCTGGGCATATTGCTGGAGTACAGGCTCACCCCTGCAGCTTTTGGCACAGACTGGGAAGGAGCATCCCTGGCAAGAGCTCAGGCCCCACAGGATCTTGTGGCTGTGCAGTAAGTGCCTGCCTTGTGGCAAAAGCAGTGCTGAGGTACTTTATCCATTGTACTGGGGAAGCAGCAACTCCTGTCACAGGATCCAACACACCATAAATCGCCTTGGTCTCCTTCAGAACTGTTACCAGTTTGTATCATCTTCCCAGTTCAACTCCTCTTCTTCACCCCAGCCTGTAGCTTCAGCCTAGAATCACACAAAATTATCAAGATTAAGGTATGGGGAATGTACTGGTGTGCTTAGAACAGGCCCAGGAGCCGGGCAGATGCCTGTGTGGCTTGGGATGGCAGAGCATTCATACAACAAAGCCAAAAGCCCAAAAATGAAGTGTCAGTATTTGCAGCTTATGGTCTTAAAGAACTTTGTCTTTAAGGTGATTCCTCTTGTAGTTCAAAAGCAGACTTAACAGGGAGTCTTATTTTGTTTTACTGTTGGTATCAAAACCACTTTCCATTAAAAAAAGGATGCCATACATTAGATGATTTCTTTCCCCCAGGAAAGAGCTGTTTTCTTGTCATATTCTAACTAAGTTTGATCTCCCCCCTTCCCACTGACAAAATGGGGTTGGGGTCGTGACAGTCACTGGACACGGTGCCACTTTGAAATGTCATAAACAACTTCAGTGAACAGCCCAGGCTCCTCTCCCCATGCTCCCTGCTGTTCCTGGGGTAGTTCTCTTGAGGCTGAATGAGCAAAACAATCTGAAGTCAACACCTGTTCCCTAAGGGAGTTACATGGTCAATTGGGAATGCTGCCTCCCCTCCTAGGAAACAGCAATGGTCTTTGGAGTCTCTCTGATTGGGCTACAGGGATTTATCTGCTTAAACTCCAGTTTTGTGACCCCACTGTGTCTCTGAAATAAAGAAACGTTTCAGCTATTCTTTCATGAAAACAACACATACACAAATCTTTACTCTGTAATCCAGAGGTTCATGTTTCCTGGACTTTCATTTACAATGCTGTTATGTTTTGCTAGAAGAGTCAGGGAAAACACTTCAGTCCTGAGTATTCTCTGTGCCTTAAAGCCCTTTCTGCTTGTGGTTAGGACCATGTCTGTTCAGCAGCCAGGATCTGGCCTTGTTTTACCTGTCTTGACAAACCAGAACTCTCCTTAACAAGTCCAGGATACAGCAGCGCTGGAGCTAAAACTCCTGTAGTAGTGTACAAATGGAGTCCATTCCCTGTTTCCTAACAGAGCTCTCTCTGCTGTATCAAGTGCCCACTGCAGTACCTAGTGCCTGCTAAGGTGCTGTGTGCTGAGGAGCCTCTCAGGGCTGCAGTCACCTAAACCTCGAGCCTCTTACCTCAATCACATCAGCTGCTGCAAATTTGGATGAAAACAGCAGAGTCTGGGAGGCACCTTCTCTGCTGGACACCCCACCTGAGTCAGTAGGAACAACTGCTTCTGTCCTTGCCTCAGGTAAAATCAAGAGGGCGGAAGAAGGTTTAATGTCTGGGATCATGTCAGCAAACCAGTCCAGCTCTGGGTCTTGCACAGGTTTCCTCTTCACTTTGATCGTGAATTCTTCTCCCAGGCCAGACTCTGAAGACTTCAGCCTTTCCTGAAAGGTTTTTGGCAACACAGTTTCTCCCAATTGTTCCTCATGGTCCCACTTGTCGTTGCTCCAGCTGTTCTCATGGCAAGACTTTGTGGGAGGACTCAGCCTGAGGCTTTTGAATTCTTTGCTCAGTTGATGGGTTCCTGGCAGAGGCCTTTCAGCTGCATCAGCCTGTGTCACAGTGGGGCAGTTTCCTGAGGACAGTTTACTACTGGAGCTCCTAGGTTCAAAGTCATCCCAAGGCTTCTCATCTATATCATGATCAGGAAAATAAGGTCCTGCGCTGCCCCGCAGCTCCCGGGGCTGAATTTGAATGTTCACAGTTTTCTCATTGTCTGTCTCCTCTGGCTCACTCCAGTCTGGCCACTCCTCTGCTGGCTTTTCTGAGGTAGTCAAAGAGCTCCTGCTGTTCCCCAGTGTATTAATGCTTCCAGGAATTCCATTGAGGGGGGGCTGAGTGCCTTGCTCACCTGTGGAAGACAAAGGTGTTACATACGCATTTAAAGAGAGCAAGTGCAGGCAGAGATGGAGTTATGTCTAAAACATCTTGACATTACAGGCACCACCTGGCATGGGAACAAGCCAGTAACTGATTGGAAAGCAAGCTCCTCTTGGATTAGAAAGCAGGGACACCTTCCTGCCTGCAAAGGAGGGAATTCACCTCAGAGCCCTGAGCAATACAGGCTGATTGCTGATAAGCAAGAGGTGTCTGAGAAAAGGCCATGGAAGGAAACAGAATCAGCTTTGACTGTCAGGATGAGCTGCCCTGTAAATCCAGAGTACCTGCTGAGCTGTGAGGGGTGAAAGCACAGCACAGAATCTGCCATAAGAAAACAAATTCAAGTCCAGGCACCCAGTCTGTGTATGTCAGCTTCCCACATAGCTATTCCCTAGGATGTTAAGGATCACACTTCCTTCACTGTTGCCTTCTGTGGTTCACTGAAACTTTCAGATCAGCACATGGGGGCAGAAGGCACACCTCTCAAGCAACACTTCCTTGGTGAACACTTGATTTCTGAAAGGAAGCACTAGGGTATGTTTTACCTGTCTTTGAAGCCAGGGGATTGTCCTGTTGCACGAGAAGCTTTTTGCCAGGTACATTTGCAGAGCTAGGGAACAAGCTGGGACTGCTCTTCAGGGGCCAAGAGGTTTGGTTTCTCTGATTGCTCACTCTGTGACTGGGGGAACCTGCCAGGATAAAGGGAAAGAAAGGACACAAGTCCACAAGGTGTGCTGTCAGTCTGTGCTGAACTGCCTGCAGCACTGGAATGTTCTTTTTGAACAACACTGAGGCCTGGCACAGCAATCCAACAGCTGCACCTCCTGATCCATATAAAACACAATACTCCTCTGTTGCTGCTGCCTGCAGCTCTTGTCAGTACAAAGTTCTGGCAACTGTACATGGTCAGCTTTGGTGAGATGTTCTTTCAAGAAACACACAGTGAATCAACTGATTAGGATCAGAGCAGATGCTTTAAAAATGCTGTTTGCCACCTGGCTGGATCCAAAATTCCAACTGCATCACAAATCCCCTGGTACCTGTCTTGTACAAAAGCACTGCACTCGCTCACAGCAATTCCAAGCATAAGCAAACCCATGACACTACCCAGACCCCTTTCCATGCCTGGGCATGGGCACAGCAGCTTCCTGGAATGAGAGTCTCTGCTCTGAAGGCTGACTGCCAGCTGCCCTCATATCCCAGCCTGAGGTGAGGTGGTGGTGGCAGTCAAGGCCATGCTCTGGAGCTGCCCAGTGCAGGTGTATTTCCCTGGCTCAGTGATGACAGCTTGGCAAGCACGTGGTTGCAGGTCATTTTTGGGAGCTGCAGGGCACGATCAGTACTGGTGGTGACTTGCCAACACCAGCCTCAGCTGTGTGGGACCCTGTTGCCACCACTTCAAAATGGCAGTTTGGGCCAGTGCTGCACTTCCTCCCACAGGGCTGGTGTGTGTTCCCAGCAGCTGTGCCTGCCTAGGCTGGGAGCACCAGTGCCTTCAGACACACATGGCCATGGGAAAGGACTGCAAGGAACACAGAGAACCCACCCCCTCCCCAGTGCCCTTCATTAAGGGCACATCCTTTGAGGGGTTGAGCAAACAGCTTGTTAAGCATCATATGCTCAGCCTCTTGTGTTGCTTTTTGCAGTTCCTCACTCACTGTTAAAGACAAAGGTGGGGCTTTTGTTGTTTATCAGTAGTTAAATCAGATGTAAGTATAATCTGAAAAACAAACCTGGTTTCAGCCTGTGATCCAAAGTGGTTTATTTACTACACTCTACTAAAATAAATAATGTAAAGAAACTAATGCAGTGAGCCATCCACAGATTTTAATGAAGGGTGGTAGCTGCCAGTACACATAGACAGGAAGCAAGCACTTAGACTGATCTCTGTAGGTATTTCATTTGGTATCTCTATGTCTAAAGTTGCACAGGTGCTGACTTTTCCCTCGTTATAAACATTCTTAGTTTCCAGAGAAGCTTTCCCTTAGCATACTTGAGCAGATGCAGGGGCTACTCTCTTCACTTGCATTAGCTGAAAAGCCTCCAGAGAGCTGATAAAATAGGGAAGTTCGTATTCCTTTTCCAATCTATGAATAGAAATTGGGGGAAGAACATGAGATTTACTGTTTTGAAGAACAGAAAGGACAGAGGGAATATTAAGTAACTGCCTATATAAGTCCTTTAGAAAGGAAACACAGTTTTTCCACTAAAGACACACACACTCTATCTCCTTTACTTACAGGAATTCTTAAATTAAGAAGAGGCTTCACTTTCTCACAATATATTTGGTGTATTTAAAATACTTTTATATAACTCTTCTTCTGATATCAATTCTGTATCTGCAAATAGCACCTAACTTAAAATCCAAGTCTGGCTGCAAATTAGCTTTTTTTCAATTAACCTGTCACCAGGAACAGATTAATAACCCAAGAAATTCTGCCTACACTGCTTGGACAGAACAGGCGAGCATCCCAAGAACACTGACTGTATCTTTTACCTTCTGGGGAGAGATCAGCAGTTTTCATGAAACTTGGTGCAGAGCTTTTGAAGATCTTTGTTCTTTCTCCACCTACAACCACTTCAGGCCCAAGCAGGGAGACGAGGACAGCCAGGCTGTGCAGGGTTATGGCCACGATGGAGTCACTGGTGTCCCGCAGGCCCAGCAACACCTGCACCAACAACACACTGCTGTCAGCACGGCAGAAAACCCTGCTTTGGCACTGCTTGCCTCCTCAAGTGTTACTTTTGCAGCACATCTCATTTCTAATCCTCTACAGCTCCCAGTAGAGATTGGATGTTGTTTCATAGCATGAAATCAGCCTTACAGTTTGTGCTACCAATTAAGTAGCGTGGCTGATGCTTGTGGGTGGATGGAGCTCAGCAACCTGGTCTGGTGGAAGGTATCCCTGCCCGTGGCAGGGGGCTAGACAAGATTAGATGGCCCTTAAAGTCCCTTCCAACCCAAACCATTCAGTGATTCTGTGAAATCCCAAATTCCAGGATACACCACCCATGGGTCTGCTGTCCCTAACCTGTGGCAATATGATGTTCTTCAGCTCCTCCCGAGAGAACAGCTCGGCGTAGGCGTGGATGTGAGAGAGCAGCACCATCCTCACGTGCTCCTCGTGCACCTCAAAGAGCTTCAGCAGCACAGGGATCACGTGGGCCTGGAACAGGGCTGGCGACAGCAGGCAGCTGGTCTGGCTCTCCCCACTTTGCTCTAGGGAACAGAGGTGAGGATGGGAAAAGGTTGCTTCACCCACCAGAGACAGTTCACCCAGAAGCTACTGAGTGGTGACACCAGGATCATTGCTAATTCTCCTCCCAGCATCAGCAGAGCAGTGCAAAGGAGGAATCACAGATAACTGTCCTTTCCAATTGTGTTTAGAGCATTTGTTCTGCTCACCACTCTTCCCTTGATTCAATGAAGCAACCGCTCTGAATTCATTCCAAACTTGTCAGGAATAATTGTGATGAGGAAGTATTTAAATGTCACCTTTCTTTGGGCCCAGCAGATGAGGAAGAAAACTCTTGACAGCTACAGGTTCTGCAAACACGAGCTGATTGAGTAGGAGAGGCACCAGCCGTGATGCTATCAGCTCCTCTGACAAGCCAGCCACCCTGTCCAGCAGGAATCTGCATTCCAGGAGACAGCAATTAGTATCAAGGCAGCCTTCCATGCATTTATGCCTGTCTCCCTTAGTATCATTTTCCCCTTTTTGTGTCTGACTCATCCAGAGACAGTGTCCCACTGCAGCCTCTCCCTCTGTCTGCATTCTAACCTACAGGGAGTAGCCTCTGCTGCTGCCTGAGGCAAAGCTAGCACGAGCCAGGAGCCAGAACCACATCCTGCAAAACCCACACCCGGATCAGGGGCTGGCACAAGCACATCCAGCTGGCACAGGAAGCTGCTGGAGCATCAAACTGCCTCAGAGCTGCTGGCATCTCCTGTGAAAAGCTACAGTCAAAACTGCAGCAGAGAGCTCTCCTCTCACTCCACACCCTGGGCCAGCACAAGGGTTTTTCCTGCTGCTTTGGAAAAAGGCTCTTCCACCTACCACACAAGGGAAGTTTCCCTTGCACAAAGAGAATCCCATTTTGAAACCACTTCCCATCTAATGAGGTCAACAGATTTGGTTTGTCAAAGTTTAATTTTGTGCAACTGCTGTCTGTCAGATTTTCATTTTAAAAATATTAATTATCAGTCACTGCTGTCTCTCTATGCTTGGAGGAGACCTGTGAAGGCCCCTCTGCCTGATGGAAGGGCAGAACTCCCTTCTCTTTAAGCAAATTGTTCATCCCTTCCTCAGTAAACACTGCTGACACAGAGTTAATGAGAAACACTGAATGTTCATACTAAGGATACCCATTCTCCTCTTACTTCCTCCACTTAAGCCTCAAACTAATTAAAAATAACTGATGTATAAAATAGGCAGGAAAACAGTGCTCTGAGAACACCAAGGCTCTTTTATATGGGGAAAGAAAAAAATCAGCTTCTGCCCTTTTCAGACCTAGATAATGCCATGATTACACAGAAAATTCCCTGACATAAAAATTCTTGGGGACCACAACAGTGGGATTTACTACAAGATGTTCCACTACTGCAGCTGAGACATCCATTAAAGGCAACAGCTTTATTCTTGCCACCATATGATTAACTCAGCCAACAAGTCTATTTGCAAACTCTCTCATTAGCAGCTGCATCACTCTGGAGGCTGGGGAGCATCAGGATGATGCAGAGCCCAGCAGGGACTGCTTCTCCTGAACAACAAACCAAGTCACAAGGAATTGGGAAGCAAGAGGTGGAGATTTCCTCTTTGATAGGGCTCTTACTTTGGCTGGAGTACCCCAAGTGTTACAGAGTGAACAAGGTTCTGCCAAAGCCACCAAATCTGTCACCTGAGGAAGTGGCTCTGGCCAGGAGCCTTCCCAGGTCCCCCACAATCCATTTGCAAAGTGTGCTTTATCATTCTGAAGTAAGAAGCTTCCACATTACAGTTCCTTCACTTACTTGAAAAATTCAGTTTTCTCCTCCTCAGACTTTAGTGTTAAGGTCTTCAGAAAATTCACAACTTCCAGAAAATCATTCCTAAGCACAAAACCAAAAGCTGTCAAGTGCAATCCTTATTGATGCTTAAACCACCCACTGTGAAGAGAAACCCCCACCACTCCTTTAGCAGAGAGAAGAGACAGAGGGACCCAAGTCAAATGCTGGGGGACCAAGAGTGCCAGCAAGGAGGTGACAGCTGAAGGATGCTGCTCAGCACCTCTTTGGGAGGGTGGTAACACCTTCTTAATTTAAGGAGCCTCTTTGTCAAAGATCCTGCAAGAGGCAGGGATTAAGTCTGCCCTCCCATCCCACCTTCACAAAACTGATGCTTTGCTAGCAGAAGTGAGCAGTATCAAGACAAGAGAGGCCTGGTGCTCCTGTCCTTACCTGAAGAACTCGTGGGACAGTAGGCTGGACAGTGGTGGGCGACACTTTGGGTCTGGGTTCAGCAGTGTACAGTGCAAGGTTTGCTGAAAGCTGGAGAGAGTATCTGCTGAAACTGAAACCCAGAGCACCTACAGTTAGATTTCTTTCTCCACACTGAACAAGATACATTCAGGAGTCCTCTGCCCACCCCCCACCAAACTTATTTTTAGCTCCAATTGACAGCAAAAGTGAAAAAGGAAGAGGAAAATAGCATATCCCTTCCTAACCTGCCTGGCTACTGGGCCTCTAAGGAGTGCTACTGTTCTCCCAAGAAACTTCCTGCTGCCTCTCTGCTGGAAGTGGCAACCCCTTCTCAGCTGTGGCTTTCAAGACCCACTTGCCACACCCCTAACCCTTGGGAAGACCAGAGCAGGTTTGGAGTCCTTGTGTCACGGGGGCTGGTGACCTCCAGCCACATCTGACCACATCCCCACAGGAAAAAAGTCTGTGAACAAGGAACAACACTGGCCAAGGAGCCCACAACACTCCTGCCAGCTGCACAGCGAGGTGGAATGTTCAGCCACACCAGGAATGAACCACAGGGCCTGTCACCAGCAAAATAAACCAGTGTCATTCTCACCCTGATCATTGAGAACTGTCAGGAGATTCTCAACTGTTGTCCCAAAGGCGTAGGCGTCCCTCGCATGCCCGTAGCTGCTGGGCAGGATTTTGAAGTCTGCAGACTGAAAACAAAACAAAATAAAACAAAAAAAACCCAACAACAACACAAAAAAAAAAAAACAGCAAAGCAGGAGCTTATGAAATATGTGGTATTTTCCATAAGTCTTTATTCCCACCCCCCACCATATACACTCTCGAGTTCTTTTTATAGCACCAAAGCCTCACTGTGTACCCTACAAGCAGAATACTATGCTAAAAAAACCTCCACTGGGGAATTTATGACCCAAAGGAGTAACTCCATCATGATGAAACAACTCCCTGATGAATGCAGCTTTCAGCATTTCTGTGGAAACAGGCAGTAATTAGAGAGCAGAAGAGTGCTCCTTCACCACAAGCAGCCCCAAGGATTCTCAATGGCCAGGCAGTGACTTAACAGGTAGGGAAAAGGCTGTGGTGGGAGTTACACAACCATGGGACCATAGTGATCTGGGTAATCTCAGCAACTACTCTGAGTTTTGCAAAACTTTGGTGATTTAGAAGCAACACAAAGCACTTGGAAAGCAGTATTACCTGTGCCCAACACCATTCCCAAAGCAGGGACAGGACAGAGGAGGGACAAACGGAACAGAGGAAACCTCAAGGGCCACTTCCCTTCCATTTAGGCATGAGGAAATACAACATGAATGTAAAAACATTTCCTGACCATCATGTTTTATTTTGCTGGCAGTGGGAACTCCTTGAGCTGTCACTCACCATCTCCTCGCAGGGGATGCACGACTGGTCTCGCACCGACCTCACGTGACGCAGGAACTGCAAGGACAGAGGGGCCATGAGCTGCCTCCGTGTCCCCCAGTGCCAAGCAGCAGAGCAGGCTGTGCCCAGGGTCTGTGCCAGGGCTGGGGGTGGCAGCAGCTGTGCCCCTGCCCCTTCTGCTGGCTCCCAGGGCAGGCTGTGCCTGCTGCTGCCATGACTCTGCACAGCAGGCAGCAGAAATCAAACCAGGAATTGTTCTGTCTGCTTCCAAGCAGTGAAAATGCCACCAGCACAAACTAAGGAGACATTTAAGTTATTTTCCTTAATGACTCGTTTTGACCTGAGTCTTCCTGCTTTTTTAAAATTTTTGTATCAGTCCAGAAGGGCACTCTCCAGCCAGCAGTGTCCCTTAGAAAAGCAGCTGGGTTTTGCCTAATGAAGAATTAATTTGTGTGGACATTTTAGTTTATAGTAATGGTGCCCTCAGAGCAAAGATTGAGGACAGAGCTGGAAGGGAGCCAACACATGTAATAGCAAATCCAGCTAAGTGGAAGGACTTGGGCCTTCACCCCCATAGATGGCCAGATTCCACAGGCCAGGAATCCTCCCCTGGGCATCCAGGGTGCACTTGGCTTGGCTCTTACCTCTGGGGTGGCTTCACTGAAGTTACAGACTGTTTCCATTCCTCCCAGCTTCCAGTGCCCATCCTCACTCACAAACACGGATGACAAACAGACGTTGTTATGCGTTAGGTTTCCCTAAAACATAAAAACCCAAAAAAAGGTAACTGACTTGGGGGATAGATGAAGATGTAGAATCTTAATCAGCACTAACTAGGTACTGCAGGGGGCTGAGGGAAAGCTGCCAAAAAACCACACAGTTCCTCTGGGACTTTGTAGGTGACCAGCAGGTGCCAGGCAGGAGGGCCAGGGTTTTAGAGCAGACAAAGCCCCAATTGTCACAGCCCCTGCCATGCAACTGTAAATGCAGGGAAGTTCTCCAGCTGTGAACACAAAACCCCAGAGCTGCAGTCTGAGCTGGGATTTACCTGCACTCCTGGGCAAACACACAGTGCCCAGACAGGGCAGCAGTGACACCAGCCTCTGGCACGGGGCAACAGCCGTACACAAAAACCAAGCAATCCCATTTCCCTAAAGTGAGAAGTACTACAAGCAGATTCATGAACTGAGAACCGCTTCTTGCCTCATTTCCACAACATTTTCAATTACCCTTCCTCCTCCAAAGCAGGCAAGTTTAGCAGCTCCAGCCTACAAGAACCGTGGGGCACATGTCTGTCTTTTTTGGGAGGAATCAGCAGCGAGTCACCCAGACAAGGCCAGGTACAACGCTCTCCTGTCACACTTCCTCCATCTCCCACCAGAACCTGATGATGCTGCCAGGGGTACCTACCCTGTCATGGAGGAAGATGAGTGCCAGCAACACATCGTAGATGCCTGCACAGATTTCTGCAGCAGAGAGCGTCTCCAGGACCATCTCCAAGGGCTTCACCCGCTCCGTAACCAGGTGGATCCCGTTGGCTTCCACGGTGCAGGAGAGGAAGCGCAGAAGGCAAGGGTGGCGCAAGGTTTTCAGGTGCTTCCAGGAACAAAGACGTCTGTTAGCCCTCCTCTGAGCCAGCTCCTCCAGAAGCAGAGCTTAGTCTGCCCCCTTAGCCATGTTATCTCATGGAATTCAGGCAGCCCATCCCTGCTCCTCGCCAAGCAAACTTCCTCACTCAGACTGTAGGACTTTTATAAGACATTGAAACAGAATCATAGAATGGTCTGTGTTGGAAGGATCTTAAAGACCATCTTGTTCCATCCCCTTCCCACAGGCAGGGACACCTTCCACTATCCCAGGTTGCTCCAAGGCCTGCCCAGCCTGGCCTTGACACTTCCAAGGATCCATGGGCAGCCACAGCTTCTCTGTGGGCAGCCTGTACCTCACCACCCCCACAGAGAAGAATTTCTTCCCCTCTAGCCAATCTAAACCTACTCTCTCTCAGTTTGAAGCCATTTCCCCTTGTCCCGTCACTACATGTTCTTGTCTCTCCATCCGTCTTGTAAGCTCCCTGCTGGCAACGGATGGAGAAAATCTTACACAGAATAAAAGTCTTACTCAATAATAAATATGGTATTTTGGGTGGGATTCACCCACAAAAACCCCTGACTTGCATCTGCAGGAGGCAGCACCCTGCAAAGGCAGGCAGGCACTGCTGTCTAAACATTGCTGCCCCAGCATGCAGCACACACTGAACTCTGCACCTGCCAACCCCCTTCTGCCCCACAGCCAGGCTGGCTTCCACTTTTCTCTGCCCCCACTCCCAAGGTTTGACCCCGTTAACTCATTCCCACCTGCCAGTGAAAGGAGGGACACTGTGCAGCGTGTCCCAGGCACGGGCAGTACCTTGGCAGCTTTGTTGACCTTCTCCTCGCTGTCCCGCCTGTACACGAACACGGAGGCCAGTTTGCCATCCTGGAGCACGGCCGGGTAGATGGTGTGCCCGGTGGGCAGCATGAAGGGCGGCTCCTCCAGGCTGTAGCTCTTCAGAGCACTGTTCTCTGAGCCCATGCCTTGCACAGCTCCCCTGCTCACCACCAACAGGCCCTGGCTGAAGGAGGATTTGCTTTGGGCAGGTTTAGTTCCAGTGGGCGCTGTCCAGGTCACGTTCAGAGCATTTTCTGCAAAGCACGGAACAGCCATGAAGAGCCTCCTCCTGCCAGTATCCTCCCCTTGAGCTTAAGGGCAAGAATAAAATCCCCAAAGTTTACTTTGTAAAGGAAACCCAGTGACCACAAAAGGGTTTGGATCAACATGTGAGCAGCTCTCAGTGGTGGGGCTTGGACATCACTGGCACCTGTGTCAGACCTGGCTGCCAAGCTGAGATCCAGCACAAGCAGGATCCACCAACACCCCCAGCCACACACAGACACCCACTCCAAGGGTTGAACTGACACAAAGCACAGTCAGCAGTTAGGATGTGTGACTGCCACTCCACAAGGAGCCTCTGGCCTTCTCAAAAACACCATTCTTCAATTCTCCAGGCCAGAGAAGAATTCAGCAAAGGAGGAAGAGTTACTATCTAGATTTCAGGTTACCTATAGCCAGGCACCCTCCTCCAGGAGCACGTTTTCCCCCTTGATTACCTTCTCTCCATGTGACAAATATTCCTTCTGCCTGCCAACCCTTTCTTCCTCCCACAGCCTGTCAGGAAGAGGCTGACACAGATTTCTGTGCTGTTTCCTCACACACAAAACCAGTAAAACAAACATACTGATTGCAGAGGCTTTTTGGAAAGCACTGATCCAGTACATGCTCTGTCATCAGCCTTGTGACCACAGGCCATGGATGAGACCTGAACCTGTCTGCACACAGAAGTCAGCAAACCTTCCTCAGGAATCAGAGGGCATGACCTGAGGCTTCAGGGAGGAAACAGCACAGGAGTCTCCCAGCTCCCCAGCAGAGCTGTGCCACCCAAGCTGCTGCTCTGGCCCCTCACCTGTGTCTCCAGTTAGGTCTCCCACGAGCCCTGAGGGCAGAAGTGCTCAGGGCCTTTGGAAAGAGAGCTGGTCTGTTACAGTTCCCTGGCTCCTTTAACCCACCTGAGGGTACAACAACCCCTGCAGCCTGAAACGGGGGGGAACAGGGGCTTTTAATTAATTCTGTGTCCTGATCCACCTAAAATCTCAATTGGATTAACTACAGAACTTGCACCTTCCTCATTCTCTCCCCTCTGGAGTCAGGCATGGATCTGCACCTTTTCAGCACTGATTCCTTAAATGGGACCTTTTAAGACATAAAGGGAAAGTTCTGGAAGTTTAAACTGCAGCTTCCCAGCACTACACAGAGGGGCTGACAGGTGAAAAGGAAACACAACGCAGCACTAGCACACATCTCTAAACTGGATGTTTTTTGGTGAACTCCCTGGCACAAAAGCATTCATGCTGCCCTCAGACAGAACGTTCTCCTCCCCAGACAGAACCTTGGAGCTCTGCCCTGGCTGCCCCAGGTTATCCCTCCTCACCTGTGTGCAAGGCAGCTGCTGTTCCTGGGCACAGCCAGCGCATTTCTCTGCATTCTGCTCTTCCCAGCTGTGCCTCATTTAGTTGTTCCACCTCAGTGATTCCTCACTCAGCACACCTGAAAGTAGCTGGGCTGACCTGATGCCTCAGGCTCCTTCAAATACACATGGACATATTTGGCTACACAGAGTTCAGGAAGAGAATCATAGAATGGTCTGGGTTGGAAGGGACTTTAAAAGCATTCCACTCCCCTGCCATGGGCAGGGACACCTTCCACTATCCCAGGCTGCTCCAAGCCCCATCCTGCCTGGCTCTGGGCACTTCCAGGGATGGGGCAGCCACAGCTTCCCTGGGCAACCTGTGCCAGGGCCTCACCACCCTCAAAGGAAGAATTCCTTCCACACACCTCACCTAATTTTCCCCATTTGCAGCCATTCCCACCTTGTCCTGTCACATCTCCTGACGAAGAATCCCTCTCCAGCTTCCCTGTAAACCCTTCAGACACTGGAAGGCTGCTATGAGGTCTCCATGCAACCTCCTCCAGGCAGAACCCCGACTCTACCAGCCACAGGGGAGGTGCCCCAGTCCCCTTATCAACTTCATGGCCTCCTCTGGAGTTGTTCCAACAGCTCCATGCTCTTCTCATGTTGAATATTGCAACACCAGAGACACCCTGGTGCCTGTGATGCACCTGAGATCTGCTGTAGGACAGCCTGCTGCAAACACACCGCCCTTCGCCCTTCTCCGGGGAGGCTCCTCTCAGCATCAAACACGGAGCAGCCTGTGGCACCCCGAGCTTTGCAGCTTTTTTAATGGCTATTGAATCTCCAGCTGGCAAAAGCATCTGCAAAGGTCTATTCCCAGGTGTGGCTCCCCAGAGCCAAAACAAACCATTACTCACACAACTATGTAAGAGCATTAACCCTTTTGTATCTTATTTTCAACAGACTGTCAACGCGAAGGTCAGATGCGATACACAGAACATCCTGGGACAGAGAGGAGCCCGGCAGGGAAAGTCGGGGGGCCTGGTAGTAAAGGGCAATGTGGATTTGCTACCAGAAAGAGGTGGAATTTCCATTCAGCGTCCTTGCGGAGTGAATGACAGCCGCATACAGAGAATTCACCTGAAACACACAGCAGCTCACAGAGGCTGTTCCCGGCTTCCCAGGGGCTCCCAGCGGTGCCAGCGGCTTCGCTCCCACAGGCAGAAGTGTCCCGGCGAGACACTGCAGATGCCCGCCCGGCACCCGCCCAGCAGACCCTCAGCAGCCCCGTGGGCAGAAGCCGCGCTCCCCCAAGGCCGGTCCGAGCCCGGGCACCGGGCAGAGCGCGGTTTCCCCACAGCGGCTCCCCGGGAACCCGGTACCGCCGGCTGCGGGCACAGCACAGCGGAGCCGCCGCTGCGGGAGCTTCCCCCGGGGCAGCGGCACCGTGTCCCCAGCGGGGCTGGCAGGGCCCGGCCCGCCCGTCAGCCCCCGTGGCGGCCCTCAGCCCCGTCCCCGTTCACCTGTCCGCGCCGGGCCGGGGCTCCGGTGCCGCTGGGCCCCGCCGGCCGCTCCGCCCGCCCGTCCGTCCTTCCGCCCGGGCCGGCCGCGCCGCCCGCCTCGCGCGCCCCCTGCCGCCCGGCGGCCGCAGCGCCCTCGGCGGAGCGCCCGCCGCCATTTTGGGCTCCCTCAGGAGCGGGCGGCCCGGGAGCCCCAGGGCTGGGGGGAAGCTGTGAGAGCCCTGGGGCCGCCACACCGCATCACCCCGCAGCGGCTCCGGCCGCCTCCGAAACACCCTGGGGATGGTGCCTCCAACACCTCCCTGGGCAGTCTGTTCCAATGCCTGACCGCCCTGACAGTGATTTTTTTTACTGCCCTGTCTCAGCTGGGCCATTCCCCCCCGTTCTCCTGGGCTGAGCCCAAGCTGGCTGCGATGAGCTCCCCGAGCTCCTCAGCCCGGCTCCCGCACGCCCCTCACAGCATCCCCTCGCTCCCTCGCGAGCCTTGTTGCCCTTCTTTGGGCACGCTGCTGCCCCTTAGTGTCCTTAAAATAAATTTTTAAATCTTGTCCTCCCCATGCCCCGCTCGGGTCGGGCCGCAGCCCGGGAGCCCGAGCGAGGCAGGAGGTCTGACACCTGAGGGGATCCATTTAATGCCATTACAGCCAATTGCTCTCCGTGCTGCGGCCTGAGGGGACTCCGGGGAGAGATTTCACCTGAGTGTTTTGGACGGCGGAGCGAAAGCTGAAAGGAGCGGCTCCAGAGCGGTGGGAGGTCTGAGCTGTTCACACGCCGTTTCCATCCCGCCGCTGTTATTCCAGCTCCTGCAGCGCCAGGCCGTGAGGATGTGGTTTGCCCAGCTTTGCTCAGCCGCTCCCAGCAGCGGCGCAGCCCAGCCCCGTGGCCTCGTCTAGACGCGGTTTAATGGCCAGGGCAGAGCGTTTAACACCGGTGGTCTGAGCTGTGCAAGCGCCTTGGCTTTCTGTAGGAACTCAGCTCCACGAGTTTAACCTGCACTGAGTTTGTGCTGCCAAATCCAGCACGAACTGTGCAGAGGATGTTCATTAGCAATACGCTTTCCCCCCTCGAAATGGACAGCATTTCCAGGGCTTGGACAGCGCAGATGATCCCAGACACACAGGTCTGCTGGACAGTGGCTCAGCCACGCCAGAGTCCCTTCAGCACAGCTACAGCTCTGCTCCCTGGATAGCAAAAGGGATTCCACAGATCCACAGCCCAGCTCCGCTCAGCTGAGCCTCACTGACTGTTCAGGCGAGCCAGGAGAGAGAATTTCTCCTGTGACTGTGCAGGGGAAGGGCTGTAAGGTGACATGTCAGGGATAATACGGTGACAAAGTGCTAGGAGGAGCCTGCTCCTCTGGCAGGATGTGCTGGTGGATGGATAATCTGGGGCTTTTTAAAAAAAAAGAATATGGTGGGAGGAACAGGGTGCAGGAAAATAAAATGAGTCACAGTATGACATATGTAGTATGTCACACATTGCAGGGTAATATAATGCACACAGGAACACAAACTAAATAAAGTTCAGGTACACCACCTCTATCTGTCAGAGGCAGGAAAGATCCAGAGTCTTTGGCCCAAATGGGACAGACACCTAAAGAGATCCTGGCCCCGAAGTGCAAACTAAGGGAAACTGTGAACATTAGTCACCAGTTAATCCAAGGGGCCAACCGTGGGTTTGTATGTCCTGTGTGTGTTTGTGGCAGGGCAAAGGCAGAAGGTCAGAAGACCTAACTAACTGGAAGTAAAGATAAAAACTCCTCATAAGCAACAACTGATTTCTACTCACAGCCTACTCACCCTCGGCTCCAGCTTCAGGCTCTGGTGTGATTCATGTGGCTGTCAGGAAGAAAAAGCAAACTTTGGCTGTTCTGCATAATTTCTGGTGTTTCCTTTGCTGGGCTGTCTCTGTGGAGCAGCATTCTTTCCCTTTCCCTGCTTTTCCCGAGTGATTCCACTGTTCCACACAGGCTGAAGTGTCACTGAGGGGTGTGCCCTGCTCAGGGCCCTGTCAAGGTGCTGCACAAAACCCCAGCTGGGCTTCTGCCCCCAGACTTCACCTTTTGCCTTTCCTAAGCACAGCCAACTGGGTTCCTCCAGAGAATGACCCAGGGATTAGGATTAGGAAGGTGTGAACCCCTCAAGGGCAGAGGGAAGAGATGGAACCAGCAGGATTACAGATCTCCTAGCAAATGCCTCATTAGGATTGGAACTGGTTCTTTAAGTCAGTTGGGCAAGAAAAGATTGGCATAGCGGAGAGAGAGACAGCTGGTGACTGCAGAGGGGGATGGGGCAAAAATCCCTTCCATGGATTCAATGCATGTAAAGTCTAAAGGAGCACTGCCTTATAATCCCAGAATGGTTTAGGTTGGAACGGACCTTAAAGCTCATCTCATTTCAGCCCTGGGCAGGGTCACCTTCCTCTAGACCAGGCTGCTCCAAGCCCCATCCAGCCTGGCCTTGAACACCCCGGGGATGGGGCAGCCACAGCTCCAGTCTGCTCCCAGTAGCACAGACATTGCCCAGCTCAGCCTCTGCCAGGCCAGGGGCTTTGGGAAAGGCACAGGGAACAAAGGCTGCACTGGTGCTCCCACTGATGCCTTCTCCAGAGATGTCCCACTGCTGCATGGCCACGTGAATTACAACTACAGCACAGCAGCTTTTTGCTTCGAATGATATTTCTCAATTTCTTAATAAACATAAGTGGGTTTCTTATTTTTAGGGGGCAGGGACCCCAGCATGTTTTTTCCAGCTCTGGAAAAATCCATGTTTTTATTCAAGTGTATGTCCAGACCAAGTGGCTGCAAATACCACCCTGTGACTACGAAACCCATGGAGGGGAGTGCAGCCCTCCTCTGTCTGTGCAGCTCCAACATTTCTCTTGGCACCTCAGAACTCTTTGAGAAGAAAACCTCACAAACTTAACCTGAAGGAAAAAATGAGCAGATCACAAGAGCTTCAGGGGTGACATGAACTGCACCAGGAAGTCAGCTCAGTTATTTCATGGGCTTTGAGGATGGTCACAGAGGGAATGGAGGCTGTCGCCCCTCTCAGCCTCTGGCCATGGTGAGTGGACAGCTGAGTTTACCAGTGCTGCACTACAGGAATTCCATAAATGAACCTGCCAGAGGGACCCAGAATCTCTTGCATCTAAACAGAGCTTGTCCTGCTTATTCCAGAGGAAGATACATCTTGTTCCTGTTTCATTTAATCCAAACTGGATACAATTAAAGAGAATCAGAGTAGTCCAATTTCAGAATGAAATGCACATGTTGAACTGCAAACAGCTCCACAACCCCCTGCATATTAGGGAACCTTGAATCAGGTCCTCCATGAGCTCTCAGGGAGGAGAATAGTTCTTTACTTTTGCTTTCCCCCACCCTGTTGCCCTGGAAAGCTCCTAAGAAGTGGTGTAGTACAAATAATAATTGAACACGAGATCTTAGGCGGCTGCGTGGAGCAGACTGCTCCTAGAAATGAGCCCGTCCATCTGCACAAAGCCTCTCTAATAGCAACCAGCCGTAGGAGCTTCTCAGCCATTGCTTATTTCACTGTGCTATTAACTTTACAGCCTCATTATATCCAAAACACTTGCCTGACCAAACTCATTAATTAATTAGCAGCAGGCTGGGAAAGAGGATACTCCTAGGATGATTCAGGATTGCTGCTGTAGGGAAAGAAAAGAGGAGCTTTACAAAGGCTGGAAGAGAAACCAGGAAAAAAGAGGACAGAAGTTGCAGAAGTTGCTAAAAGAAAGCAGATCCCTCCTTGCCCTGTTTTGTGCAGCATACAGTACCCAGGGACTGAATCCATAAAATACAGATAATTAAAGAGGTCAGACTCCCCTCTTCATCTGACACCCACAGGAAAAGGGATATAGGAAATGTGAAAAGTCTATGTGCTGCTATCTTTTTCCCCCTTTCTGGCTCAGGAACTGTAATTAAAGGGAAAATCATACTTTATACTGCCTTGAAAGTGCAGTGACACAGCTGGTTTTCATCTTGGCGAGCAGGCTCTGTCCTCGGGCTACTAAGTGCTGAGTAATTTTTACCAAGCTCTGTTTTCAGATAAATGATGTTCTTTTCTTAGCTGCTGCCAGGCAAAGCTACAAATACTTGATCTTTTATTCTTTTCCCATAAACTCCTAACACTGAATACTAAAAATGCAGCCAGAGATTTTTTCCACTGCCATTTATTCTCAGCACGGTCACAACTGTATTACAATTACAGACACCCACCCTTCACTGGAGCTCCACTGCAGCTCCTCGTTAACCTGAAGCTTCCAATTAAAGGCTCCTTCAGTTTCATTGATAGTTTGCATATACTCCAAGGACCCACTTCATTTTGGTTTCCCCCCAAAACACATTCCATGAGAAGGGCAACTGCTTTAAATAACTTCACACTAATTTCTGGAAAAGCCTAACGAGCAAGTGCCAGTCTCAGAAGCCTGAGTGTGCAATTTGGGGGATTTCTCTCATAGCTATAACTATAAAAATATCTCAAAGCTTTTGCCTGAACATAGCACAACCTCTGGGCAAAACAACACTGGAAACCCATTAGTGTAGTTCAAGTTTTCTGCCATGTTTTTTACTGAGATCTTACCTGTTCTAAAAAACTGCTTAAGAATTAATTAAAAATGGTAGAGAAAATAATTTTAAAAATACTGCTTCATCTTGGCAATACTGTTCTTCCACCTACCTCCAGTGAGTGAAGCCCTGAACAAGTAGCCAGCACAGAGAGAAGGCTGAAAACTGGCATGAAATATCATGGCTAATTATAGACTTGTTTCCAGTCATGCAGCTGGGAACACAGGGAGTAATGGTGCTTATAAAAGTACTTGCACACTTTGTTAAAATAACACAGGGTTTCAAAACAATTTTTATTTCAAAGGTATTTTTGAAGTATAAGACTAAGAGTTTGTCAGATTC